AGAGAGGAGAGAGAGGAGAGAGAGAGTTGTGAGAGCAAAGAGCCAGACTTCACAAACGCTCTCCGGATAACCCCGAGGATCCGTAACTTTCATTATATGAATCCGGTAAAGGGACGTAGCATCCGAGGCGGCGTTAACCTTGCCATTAGCGCGCTCAGGAACGGCCGCTCCCGTACGAGATAATCCAGTAACCGGAGCACCGGCGTAACATACAAGCAGGTGTTAAGCGCACCTAAAACCATTGTATATAGTAACACAAGATGAGCGCCATCCGGTTGAGCGAGGGAGAGATAGTGAAGCAGCAGGTGAGGACGTGGCGGAGCGCCGCACGCGCCCCGTACGGGATACATTACACGACTACCACCATTACGTGCAGCGTCAGACTATTATTGTGATCTTTGATGACCCCCCGGTGCCGCCGACTGAGGGTAAGAAGGGCGGCTGCAGGCGCAATATCCCGCCCCTGGCGCGTGTCCTTCTGTCACCCAGCGCCCGGGATCAAGATTATGGCCCGTTTCAGGGCATAAAGGGCATCTCAGATTGGTTTTCTATCCGTGAGCGTGTCTCTGATGTATTCAAACAATCACAGCACGTAGTCAGCAGTACCGCCGTCTAAGGACCCGGAGCTGCGGCTCGACCTTATAGCCAGGACACAGAGCCGGGCCCAGGAGCCGCAGGTACACCCGTGGTATACCCCCAGCAGTAGGTATACCCAGGAGTTTACCAGGTGTAAGTGACAGTGTAGACGGCCAACCATTCTGGGAAGCGCCGCCAAGCTTTTGACACAAACTTCATCCCATTTACAAGGATTTTGGCGGCTCCCGGCCAACACTTGACCCGCCCATTTTACGAGCTTTTTATTTCGCGTTTATCGAATTAACGGGTTTTGTGCGGCGGGCGGGAAAAGTTGCCGCGGCAAATTGAATGCCAAGAGTCGATATCGTCAAAGTTTTCTACCAAATGAGATCCTCCATCGCGCTAGATTCATTATGCTGCCCCGCGACGCGCCTCCAAGTTTGGAACCGTCCAACTTACCGCTTAACCGGCCGCCGCCGATCCTATTTTCTGAGCCATTTAGAAGTTGGCAATCCGGTTACGGCGGCGCCATCGATCACGGCCGCCCCGGCCGGTTACGATCACCAGATTTGTCCGGATTTGTTGAGCCGGTCCTCATATTGGCCGCTGTCAACGGTTCGCTTATACGGCTACTGCTACACTATATTATATGGTATACTGGGCGGTATACCTCCCTGGTATATCGGCCGGTATACTCCCTGGTACTCACCTAGTTGTGTTTGCGGGGGTTGAGCTTTGACTCTTTGGTCCCGCCTCTCAACTGTCAATCAACAGGTGTACAGGTTCCTGAGCCTATTGGGCTCTGTCATATCTACACTTGAAACTGTGTATGGAGTCAGCCTCCACCACATCACTTCCTAATGCATTCCATTTGTCAACCACTCTGACACTAAAAAAGTTCTTTCTAATATCTCTGTGGCTCATTTGGGCACTCAGTTTCCACCTGTGTCCCCTTGTGCGTGTGCCCCTTGTGTTAAACAGCTTGTCTTTATCAACCCTGTCAATTCCCTTCAGAATCTTGAATGTGGTGATCATGTCCCCCCTAACTCTTCTGTCTTCCAGCGAAGTGAGGTTTAATTCCCGTAGTCTCTCCTCGTAGCTCATACCTCTCAGCTCGGGTACTAGTCTGGTGGCAAACCTTTGAACCTTTTCCAGTTTAGTCTTATGCTTGACTAGATATGGACTCCATGCTTGGGCTGCATACTCCAGGATTGGTCTGACATATGTGGTATATAATGTTCTGAAAGATTCCTTCCACAAGTTTCTAAAGGCCGTTCTTATGTTAGCCAACCTGGCATATGCCGCTGATGTTATCCTCTTGATATGAGCTTCAGAGGACAGGTCTGGCGTGATATCAACCCCCAGGTCTTTCTCTCTCTCTGACTCTTGAAGTATTTCATCTCCCATATGATACCTTGTATCTGGTCTCCTGCTTCCTACCCCTATCTTCATTACATTACATTTGCTTGGGTTAAACTCTAACAGCCATTTGTTCGACCATTCCTGTAGCTTGTCCAGGTCTTCTTGAAGCCTCAAGCTGTCCTCCTCTGTCTTAATCCTTCTCATAATTTTGGCGTCGTCAGCAAACATTGAGAGGAATGAGTCTATACCCTCTGGGAGATCATTTACGTATATCAGAAACAGGATATACCGGGTATACTGTCCAGTATACTCCCTGGTATACCTCCCACCTACACTGAGGGCCCACAACACCTGCTCCATCCTCATGAATACTTAAGACACAGGGAGAAGGGGGCGCCCGGTACACATAGGGGGGGGTATGTATCTCATGTGTCACATTGGGGTGATATGTAGGGTGATTATCCTGGGGAGAGGGGGGACTGCTGCTCCCCACTGGGAGGGGGGCGTCACCTCACTGGATCAAAAAAAAAGTTATGAGGAGACATGTTCGCTACATACAAAGTACTCCGAGGAATAGAATAATCTGTGTGGTACACAATCGAAGGACTCCATACACAGTATTCAGTGTACACACAACAGTGTCGATAGGCGGGATCCAAGAGCCATAACTCATCCCCTAAGGTGAGGAGACATGCTCACCACATACAAGTTAACCAACCAACCAACACAACATCTTACAGAAACATATTCACACCACCACTACAGGAAGGTGTAAGCGTCTGCAAAACACACATGAAGACACACGTGAAGGCACAGGTGTGGCCACAAAGACAATTACTAAAGATGATAAAGAGAGTGAGGAAGGCTTAGCAGTATTAACTGGCATAGTTCCCCCTGGAGGCGCCAGGCCCAGCCAATAACACTAGGGTAATTTATTTCGCGTCGACAGCCAGGGATTTACTCGTGAAAATAATTGACCCACTAAATCCCCGGGGGTTTGCGTCCCCTCATTGGCTGGGGGAGAATTTTGATGTTATTCCTCTCTGGTTAGTCGGTTTTTATATATATATCGTCCTGGTCTTGCCGCCAAATGGTGCTAATGTTCATGTAATTAATCAGAAATTAAGGTGTTTATTACTTATTATAACAGAAAACGGGTGGAGGTTATAGAGACAGGAAGAGGAGATTAATGGTGTTAATATGAGAGTAATAGGAGTAATATTATAGTGTTGTGATCACTTGGAGATGATGATGTGAGTGTTTGGTTAAGGTTCGAGCCTCCTCCCACGTCCCCTGGCTGTCTTAACCCCAGCGGGGAACCCGCAAATAACAACACAGATTACTCTTACTCTCCCTTCTTATTGGCTAATTTTGTCGCCCGTTATGTATGGCGGTATGACAGATCGCGTTAGTGGAAGTCTGTCTGTATGAATGTATAATGCATGATAGGGGGGCGGGGGATAATCTATCATAGGGGGGTTATTGCTAGCCTTTATGTCGGGGTTCTTTAGTCACGACTGGCTGTTTTTTTTTTTTAATTTATTATTATTTGTATTCTCTACCACAGACGTGGCCGGGCATTTTCAATGCTAATCAGCATATTTACATTTTCTAATGACCTATATGGTTAGAGATCTGTTTACACATATAGTTCAGTGATTTATTGAACGATCAGCCACAGAAGGTCATTATATAGTGATTGTAAACATGCTAATCTATCCTACACACATAAATATGTATGTTTTTTACACATAGTGTCATTAATGTGTGTTTACAAAGGTGGAACTGCAATTCTGAGCAAGGGTAAGATAACTGCTGTATACACTAGTGTGTTATTAACCACTGAAGGTGATTTAAGATGCTTGTACAAGCTGATAATGTGTTATTAACTACTGAAGGTGATTTAAGATGCTTTAACAAGCTGATAATGTGTTATTAACTACTGAAGGTGATTTAAGATGCTTTAACAAGCTGATAATGTGTTATTAACTACTGAAGGTGATTTAAGATGCTTTAACAAGCTGATAATGTGTTATTAACTACTGAAGGTGATTTAAGATGCTTTAACAAGCTGATAATGTGTTATTAACTATTGAAGGTGATTAAGATGGTTTAACAAGCTGATAATGTGTTATTAACTATTGAAGGTGATTAAGATGGTTTAACAAGCTGATAATGTGTTATTAACCACTGAAGGTGATTTAAGATGCTTGTACAAGCTGATAATGTGTTATTAACTACTGAAGGTGATTTAAGATGCTTTAACAAGCTCAAATTATATAGTTACATCACAAAGAAGGAAAATAGGACTCCCAACAACCAAAAAACTCCCCACTGTGGGCTTGTGTGGGGAGGGGGGGTGGGGTGGGGGGGGAGAAGGCGCTCCGAGGCATGCAAATTGCCTCGTTACGACGCCCACTAAGCTACGGCCGGGGCTGAGAAGGGCTTTAATGGCTGCCATATATTGTTCCATATTTATTTTATTGGTTCTTGAGTGTCTAAGGTGGTTCTTGAGTGTCTAAGGTGGTTCTTGAGTGTGTTAGGTGGTTCTTGAGTGTCTAAGGTGGTTCTTGAGTGTCTGTGGTGGTTCTTGAGTGTCTTAAGTGGTTCTTGAGTGTCTCAGGTGTTCCAGACCCACTGAGAGTGTTCCCCTGGTGTTCCAGACCCACTAAGAGTGTTCCCCTGGTGTTCCAGACCCACTAAGAGTGTTCCCCTGGTGTTCCAGACCCACTGAGAGTGTTCCCCTGGTGTTCCAGACCCACTAAGAGTGTTCCCCTGGTGTTCCAGACCCACTAAGAGTGTTCCCCTGGTGTTCCAGACCCACTAAGAGTGTTCCCCTGGTGTTCCAGACCCACTAAGAGTGTTCCCTGGTGTTCCAGACCCACTAAGAGTGTTCCCTGGTGTTCCAGACCCACTAAGAGTGTTCCCTGGTGTTCCAGACCCACTAAGAGTGTTCCCCTGGTGTTCCAGACCCACTAAGAGTGTTCCCCTGGTGTTCCAGACCCACTAAGAGTGTTCCCCTGGTGTTCCAGACCCACTAAGAGTGTTCCCTGGTGTTCCAGGTATGGTTCCAGAACCGTCGGGCCAAGTGGAAGAAGAGAAAGAAGAGCAGTTCGGTGTTCCGTTCTGCGGGTTCCCTGCTACCGTCTCCGTCGCTGCCACCTTTCCCGCCCATGGGAGGGGACTCCTTCTGCGGCTCCATGTTCCCTTCCTCTGACACACGCTGGGCCATGGGCGGCATGACGCCCATCAACACAGGTACGCCCACGCCCACCTCTCTCACGCCCACGGTGGGGGGGAGGTGGAGTATCTCTCTGTGTCCCCTGATATTGTCTCTCCTCACACTAGGAGGGTGACAGGCCTCACACTAAGTGCTTCTGTCCCTTGACAGGTGTGGGGACAGGCAGCCTGGGACTTGCCTCATACTAAGTGCTTCTCTCCCTTGACAGGTGTGGGGACAGGCAGCCTGGGACTTGCCTCACCACTACAGCGACAAGGACTGGGACAGCTGGGACAAGGCGGCATGAGTATATCCCAGACCTTCAGCCAATCCTTGGGACAGGGATTCGGTCAAGGCTTTGGCCAGGGGCTAGGCCAAGGCTTGGGACTGGGCCAAGGGCAGGGCTTGGGACAGGGGCTGGGACAGGGGCTGGGACAGGGGCTGGGACAGGGGCTGGGACAGGGACTGGGACAGGGACTAGGGGGTTCGACGTCCCCCCTGCCCTCAGGGCTGTCAAATATGGGCGGGTCGCCGCCCACATCCATGTATCAGCCCCACTACCAGACCTTCACCTCTCTCAACACCGCCCTCGGTGAGTACACAGGTGAGTACCGCCTCTGTTGGTGCCTCTATACTCACCCCTGGGGCCTCTATACTCCTGGGGGCCTCTATACTCACTCCTGGGGCCTCTATACTCACTCCTGGGGCCTCTACACTCCAGCCCCCTCTACACACCTAATATTCTACAGACCATACATCCAGCATACACAGTGTTATAATCTGTGTTATGCACTGTATTATACACTGTATTATACACTGTTTTAAACATTATGTCATACACAGTATTATGCTCTGTTCATACACTGTATGAACACCTTCATCTCAGTGCTGGTGTCAGTGTAAGCAGTGTATAATACACCAGTAACCTGCACAACAGCTACAGTATACTGTAGACAACTATACAACAAATACATCAACAAGTTTTGACAGCCGTATCCAAGTTATCACTATTTTTTCTTATAATTAATTTTGTTGCAGTTAGAATTAGATTTAATAACCGCTGAAATCTTTAAAATATTTCCAAATAAATGTATGAATTTATTCCTTGAGTTTAGTAGACTTTGTAAGTTATAAATTTGTAAATATTAAAGTTATTGGTACGTAGCCCCCTCGCGGGAAGGTTCAGGGGAGACTCGTATATTTCTCCCAGATATGGAAACTTGTCGAATGATTGTGTCAAATCTCTCCCCCACACCCCAGGGTAGACACCCCAGGCCCCCCACACCCAGGGTAGACACCCCAGCACCCCCACACCCCAGGGTAGACACCCCAGCACCCCCACACCCAGGGTAGACACCCCAGCACCCCCCCCACACCCAGGGTAGACACCCCAGCACCCCCCCCACACCCAGGGTAGACACCCCAGGCCCCCCACACCCAGGGTAGACACCCCAGGCCCCCCACACCCAGGGTAGACACCCCAGCACCCCCACACCCAGGGTAGACACCCCAGCACCCCCACACCCAGGGTAGACACCCCAGCACCCCCCCCACACCCAGGGTAGACACCCCAGCACCCCCCCCACACCCAGGGTAGACACCCCAGCACCCCCCCCACACCCAGGGTAGACACCCCAGCACCCCCACACCCAGGGTAGACACCCCAGCACCCCCACACCCAGGGTAGACACCCCAGCACCCCCCCCACACCCAGGGTAGACACCCCAGCACCCCCCACACCCAGGGTAGACACCCAAGGCCCCCCACACCCAGGGTAGACACCCCAGCACCCCCCACATACCCAGGGTAGACACCCCAGCACCCCCCACACACCCAGGGTAGACACCCCAGCACCCCCCACACACCCAGGGTAGACACCCCAGCACCCCCACACACCCCAGGGTAGACACCCCAGCACCCCCCACACACCCATGGTAGACACCCCAGCACCCCCACACACCCCAGGGTAGACACCCCACCCCCCACACACCCCAGGGTAGACACCCCAGCTCCCACACACCCCAGGGTAGACACCCCACCCCCCACACACCCAGGGTAGACACCCCAGCTCCCCCACACCCAGGGTAGACACCCCCAGCGCCCCACCTTCTCCCTCTGTGTCTATCTACCATTTTCCACGTGTACCTCGACAGCTCATCAAGGAAGTGTACAGCCTCCTTCCCTCCCTCTCCCCAGGATCACCTCTGAACTCCCCAGGCCTCCCCAATGGTCTCGGCTCCCCTGCCACGCCCCCACACAGCGGCTCCTCCTCCCCAGCCTCACACCAGCAGCAGCAGCAGCAGCTACAACAGCAGCACCAGCAGCACCAGCAGCTGGGAGGTCAGCAGCAGCAACAGCAGCAGCAGCAGCAGAGTCAGGTCAACTGTGCCATGGGGTCCATGGGTATGAATGTTGCCGGGGAGGATATGTGGCGGGGGTCAAGCATTGCGCAGCTGCGCCGGAGGGCCTTCGAGCACTCCGCCTCTATGGCTGTCTTCCGGTAGGTCATCTATGGTCGCGTGCCGGTAGGTCGTCTATGGTCGCGTGCCGGTAGGTCGTCTATGGTCGCGTGCCGGTAGGTCGTCTATGGTCGCGTGCCGGTAGGTCGTCTATGGTCGCGTGCCGGTAAGGTACCATTGGTCATGCTTAAATCTGGCGTCGTGGCGGCCGTTCACGAAGGGTGACCATACCCACGTTCCGGTACAGAGGACTGGATGGCTTCAGACAGTACTTCCATGGTCGTGACTACAGAGTAACCATAGTCGTTATTGTCGTTATTACAGAGGGTAACCAGGGCCATGTTCAACAGTGCCATTAGTGTCCGTATACACGAGGGGAACCATTATGTGACTCTGTAGTCGGTGTGTAGAGAAAGCTGGACTGTTATCAGAGGTGACAGTGTCAGTGGCACGGTGAAAATGGTCACAATAGAAGGGAATCTTTGTAATGCAACGATAACCATCTTGTATATAAAAAATAGTTAACGAATGTATTATATTTTTATGGCTGTTGGTGACATTCGCCGCTGGTGGGGGCAAGATATGGCTCCGACGGCTACCTTGAGTTATTACACTAGTCTGCCCTCTCACACTCTCCGTTTTCTCTCATTGGGTGTCATGGCCGCCTTGCCAGCCGTCGCTCTCGCATCCAACTCTTCCCCAATATTGTTCCTCCTCACGGCCTCACCCCTACACCAACTCCTCTAGTTTACTTGTAGAATTAGTCTTTGCACAGTTTTTGTAATATACGGTTTTCCAGGATGTTGTATATGTGGAGATATATATACATATGTGTGTGTGTGTTTGGGACTCATATGGCAGTGTGTGATAAGTAGGTGGCTTCGTCCCCATGTATACGATAATAGTGTAGCGAAGGTAGATGTCTCAGGTGAGACAAGACATCTCCAGGCGAGGCACGAGACGCAGCCGCTGCGCTCGCGTCTCCACCAGCCAATGGGAGAGCCCGCCAGGCGCTCGGGCCCGCCTGATACCAGCCGAGATGTCTTAGAAAACAAAAAAAAACTCAGTAATGTTGGTGTATACTCAGTCAACCAGTGTTCTGTAGCCAGATTAGACCCGTTCATTGTTCCATTTTGAGTGTTCATGTTCTTAGCTTCAGGTTTGTGTATAGTTTTCTGAACTCGTGCGTCTCTAAACCTCCCACAAGATCAATAAAACCAGGATGTTAACATATCAACATAGACATGATAGCCGTCTCCCCTGTAGACCTATTTAGCCAGATTTCAGTAGGCCGAGTGCGATAGATGACACGACAATTATATGTTTGTACTCTTAGGTTAATGTTGTCCACTGTAAGCCTTGTAAATAAAGCAGCAGTCACTATAAGCCATTTTATTGTCCCCTTTGACCGCCGCCGCCGCCACCAGCAGCCTAGTGACCGCCGCCGCCACCAGCAGCCTAGTGACCGCCGCCGCCGCCACCAGCAGCCTAGTGATAGGCCTAAACACTCTTCAAAAACAAAAATATCCTATTTTTATATATATATTTTGTGTTTATCATTAATTTCCAGCCTATTATGACCAGGAAGTCCGCCATTTTCTCCCCGGTCCATAGGCCTAAATAATATCTGGTACAACTTTTGACACTTAAGGAGAGGTTAAACCCATTTTTGTTTTAACTATATATATAGGTTCTGGCCACCGGGGGGGGGGGTACCGGCCTGGTAGACCCCTCCCCTAGCAACTAGGCCTACTCTGAGACCGGACCGACGGCGTCAGTGATCCTAGAAATCAGCTCCAGGTAAGGCAGACCTTCGTAGACCTGCCCCTGAGGTCCAGAGGGTCGTCCCTGGCGCCTGCCCGTCTTAGAGGACCTGTCCTGGTCGTCCCTGGCGCCTGCCCGTCTAAGAGGACCTGTCCTGGTCGTCCCTGGCGCCTGCCCGTCTAGGGAGACCTGTCCTGGTCGTCCCTGGCGCCTGCCCGTCTAGGGGTGACCTGTCCTGGTCGTCTCTGGCGTCTGTCCGTCTAGGGGGGACCTGTCCTGGTCGTCCCTGGCGCCTGCCCGTCTAGGGGGGACCTGTCCTGGTCGTCCCTGGCGCCTGTCCGTCTAGGGGTGACCTGTCCTGGTCGTCTCTGGCGTCTGTCCGTCTAGGGGGGACCTGTCCTGGTCGTCCCTGGCGCCTGCCCGTCTAGGGGGGACCTGTCCTGGTCGTCCCTGGCGCCTGTCCGTCTAGGGGGACCTGTCCTGGTCGTCCCTGGCGCCTGTCCGTCTAGGGGGACCTGTCCTGGTCGTCCCTGGCGCCTGTCCGTCTAGGGGAAGGGGACAGTAAGGCGGGGGAGGGCGTGAAGGCCATCTTCCCGCGTCATTAACCACACCAGAAGCACCAGACTTGAGAGCGTACAGGCGCCATCTTGCTGGTCACATTCGTACACAAGACGGTTTTTCCACAACCTTGAATCCTGCCTAACTAAACCAAGCTTAGCCAACCCTAGCATAGCCTAACCAAGTCTAACCTATCCCAGCCTATCCCTACCGAGCCTAACCTATCTATATGTACGGTTTTGACACTAGGAAAGCGAAGTTAATTCGACCAGTTTTGTGTACGATTAGACCAGGTGGCGCCATCTTGGGACATCAGAGTCACTCCGGCGGCCGATGTTTGGAGACGGGTCCACGGGGCTCGGGAGCTAGAGCCTGACCCTGCAAGCACATGAAGGTAAGTACATGTAGATAAGCACACCGTCCCAAGCACGTAGTGGGTTGTGGGCGGTAGTGGGTTACCTGTTGATTGACGGTTGAGAGGCGGGACCCAAGAGCCAGAGCTCAACCCCCGCAAGCACAACTAGGTGAGTACACAGACACAACTGCAAGGGTCAATATAAGGCAACAGGTACAACAAGGGTGATGGGCGGGGCATGAAGAACTAGACCTCAGTCCCCTGTAGTCACTGTTAGGTGGTTACTGTTAGGTAGCTACTCAACACACTGGTCTGTTAGTTAGTTTAGTTCATTTATTATGCCCCCCATACCCATGCTGTGGGCAGTATAGTGGGTTACAGAGGCACATAATGGGCTCAGGGACTGAACCCCACAATTCATTTAGCTAAGCAAGTTACAATCTTGATGAGCTAGTTACAAAATTCAGTATAAGTCGTCACATCAACAATGGGTTCGAGATCGACCTCAAGTACAGGTTCTAAATTAACCAACTGACATGTGGAGAGCTGTGGGGAGCGGTGGATAGGCTACACCGCCCCCATCCAGGGGGCAGTGGTGGATAGGTTACACCGCCCCCATCCAGTGGGCAGCGGTGGATAGGTTACACCGCCCCCCCCCCATCCAGTGGGCAGCGGTGGATAGGTTACACCGCCCCCCCCATCCAGTGGGCAGGGGTGGATAGATAACAACACCCCCATCCAGTGGTGGATAGGTTACACCGCCCCCCATCCAGTGGGCAGCGGCGGATAGGTTACAATCAGTTAGTACCTACAGTTAGCAAACTGGGGATATTTGGCCAATATTTCTGGTAGTAGATCATTTTGAATGAAACATTTACACATCTTTGAAACATTGGTTATAGAATTGTCTCTGAATTCATGTATCTTTCCACACTCCATCACATAGTGACGGAGGGTGTGCAAATAATTTAATTGACAAAGTTTACATTTGGTCAGGTGTACATCAGCGGATAATGAGTACTCCCAGAGATACTTGTAACCCAGTCTAAGCCGAGCAGTAGTAACATCTAGAAGTCTACACTGGAGGCTGACTTCATACACACTATCAAGTGTAGATATGATAGAGTCCAATAGGCTCAGGAACCTGTACATCAGCTGAGTGACGGTTGAGAGGCGGGACCAAAGAGCCAGAGCTCAACCCCCACAAGCACAACTAGGTGAGTACTGGTGAGGAAGGCGCTCAACACGCACGGCACAAGTGGGCACTAACACAATCATTAGCGAAGGACTCAAAAGCTCCGCTGTATATACAATAAAAATGGGAAATGCAATGAATCCAAAACTGTCTTGAACGATAAGTGAAGGAAAGCGACGAAATTCTAGCAGAATGGTAACTGAAGAGAAGTGAGCAGGTTGACTGATACATTAAGGCAAATGACGAAATCCTTTGAAAGTTTGCAAGAGGCGAAATATTGGGGCCAGGAGTGAGTAACGACAAATGAGCGAGAGACGCCATGATGCGCAAGGTTTACACCTAACTGTCGGCCTGGGCACGGAACCATGTCCTTATAAACACACACACAATGTTATATGTAAACATTATAAACAAAATGCTCGTAGTGAGGGGCTTGGGAGCTGAAGCATGACCAAGCACATTTGGTCCAAGGATTATTATATATTACAGTTTATACCTCAGAAATATTACAGTTATCCTTCAAATATTCTGTCATTGTAACACAAATATTAACACATGCAAGAATATTTACAGGTGTTGGGGGAGTGTTGCTATTTATTAACAGGTGAAGCACCTGTATTTGTTCTCTCATATTTAAAATAGTCATAGTAATAATAATAGAAGTGCAACAAAACTGGTCCTGGAACAAAGAGGGTTGAGCTGTGAGGAACACCTTATAACAACTACACATCTTCCACCCTTACAGGACATAAGACACAAGAGGAGATATGATCACGGCATATAAGATACTGAAGAGACAATAACAGCTTTTTTAAAGAGGAAACCAGGGACAAGTGGACACCTTTAAGCCAAGATTAGGCACAGAATACGAGGGTGAGAATACGGGAAGGTATAAGACAAGAGGTACAGGAGGCGGGGGCTGCAGAGCTAGAGTCCACGTCCTCGTAGGTGAGAGAGGTAGTGTTGAGGAAGGTCTTCCTCCACCACCAGCGACCATCTTCACTCTCACTTAGAGTGACTTTTGTTGTCTTGTGAGTGGGGGTCCCCGCCCCCCCTCTCCCGGGGGAGAGAGAGACAGAGAGAGAGAGAGAGAGAGAGAGAGAGAGACAGGGAGAGAGAGACAGGGAGAGAGGGAGAGGGAGGGAGAGAGTGCCATCAGCGGATGTTAAACAAAAGAGCCAACAAAAGCAACTTTCACTTTCACACCTATTTGTTTTTTTCCTTGTTTGTGTGTGTTTGTGTCAGGTGCCTCTTGTGTTACTCTCTCTCTCTCTCTCTCACCACTAGAGGCCTCTCACCCACCACTAGAGGCCTCTCACCCACCACTAGAGGCCTCTCACCCACCACTAGAGGCCTCTCACCCACCACTAGAGGCCTAACACCTAACTGAAGGTAAACAAACAAACAATAACAACAAGAACAGATTTATTTGACCAGTTATAACAAATAACACCTCAGGAACGTGTTCTCCATGTGTTCTTCACGTGTTCTTCAGGTGTTCTCCACGTGTCCTCCACGTGTTCTTCAGGTGTCCTCCACGTGTCCTCCACGTGTTCTTCAGGTGTTCTCCATATATACAGTGTTCATCTTGGCATTGTTCTACCTGGGAGGAAAATGATGAACATAGTTTATCATTGTATAAACATTGTAGTAAATGTATTAATGTTATTGACTGTAGTTGTGATAACACTTGTTACAACCCACATGACAACGGTTCATCACATGTTTACACGAGTATTTACGAAGCCGCTGCATCTTTCCTGGCACGTGGCGGCCTTGTTTACGTGTAAATGGCTAAGGGACTCGTGGCCAGGTTGTTAGTAAATGTGAGTTGTTTGGTTGTTGGGTTGTTAAGGGGGGAGCTGAGCCCCTCCCCCCCCCCCCATGTATTCACAACACCTCACTCTGGCCAGACTGTTGAAGACTGGACATTAGTACTCACCATCCCCATCCTAGGCCTCCTAGGCCGCCTAGCCCGCCTAGTCCTCCTAGTCCTCCTAGACCTCCTAGTCCTCCTAGTCCTCCTAGACCTCCTAGTCCTCCTAGTCCTCCTAGACCGTAGAGACCATAGAGACCACCCAAGTTGAGACCATACGAGCCGTAACCATACGTCCTGTAGGGAAGGTTAGGTTACGTCAATATTATGTATATATTAATATTATGTGTTGATGTATACATATACAAGAAGGTATACTGGGGTGAGACTGCTCAGGGTTGGGGTAGGTTACGTAGGTTAGGTTAGGTCAGGTCAGGCTAGGTTAGGTTAGGCTACGTAGGTTAGGTTAGGTTAGGTTACGTTAGGCTACGTAGGTTAGGTTAGGTTAGGTTAGGTTAGGTTAGGCTACGTAGGTTAGGTTAGGTTAGGTTACGTTAGGCTACGTAGGTTAGGTTAGGTTAGGTTAGGCTACGTAGGTTAGGTTAGGTTAGGTTACGTTAGGCTACGTAGGTTAGGTTAGGTTAGGTTACGTTAGGCTACGTAGGTTAGGTTAGGTTAGGTTAGGTTAGGCTACG